TTATCCCGTGTGGACCATCTTATGGAAGTAAGTTGACCTCTTAGGACTAAAAGTCTTTCTACACTCGATGCATTTATGTGGCAGCTACCTGTATGGATTGTTACTATGGGAAGTAAGACCACCAGACCTTCCCACATTGCATGAATTTATATGGCTTCTCCCCTGTGTGGATCCCTTCTTGGGAAGTAAGGAACTTGTTTCCAAGAAAAAGAGCGAAAGTCCGATTGTATTTTTTCCATTGTCTCTGCTTATAGCATCTTCCCCTTTGTTTCGGATTGGAAACTGTTCATTTATAAGCAATTTAGCTTTGATTAACTTTACACTTTTCCAAATACATTTCTTCCTTGTTTCCCTTGCTGGACAAGGAATTGCACTGAAGGATCAATGGATGAACTCTCCCACTTCCAATTATCTGGCTATTTTCTCTCATAATTTTCTTTTTCCATTTTTCCTGTAGGTTTCTTTATCTTGTCTTCATGCTGGATCACATGGAATGGCTCTTCAGAATCTTTATTTGCCTGCCCATTATAGCCTCCAAAGAAAAATGAAAATGGTAACAAGGTTAGGGATAAATATCAAAGTGTAGAAAGTCAAGTGAATTTCTTTCTCAATTTTTGTGAAATTGCAATATACAGGGAATCCTCAAGTTACAAATATAATGGAGACTGTCAATCACATTTGTACCACAAGGATTTGTTAAATGGATCCCATTAAATGAATCAGCCCCAATACCAATTCTTCCCCACCCCCATGCATCAGGTAAAGTGCCTTCTGTCAGGGTTCCAAGTAACACCCCCAACAGAATCAACTCTCCAAGGCAGGCATCTTTCATTTATTAGAGATGTCATCTTGGACCATCAGGGGAAAACCCAAATCTGAAAGCCCTGCATTTTCCCCATCCCAAAGTTAAATCAAAGTTCCTTCCCCTCCAAGCACACATGCGTCACATGGCCCAATCCAGTCACTGTCCCAACTTCAGTTAACTTCCAGGCATGCTTCCCCAGGTGCTGGCAAGATGTCCTTCACTCCCAAGGAATGTTATGTTTATATACCCCACACTATCTCTACCTCCCCCTTCCCATAGCTTGCCCAGCCACAACTCCAGGTGATGAGTCTGCCCCCCCTCAGATGAGGATACCCTGAAATGAGATAAGTGACAGGGGGTTAGTCATGCTGTTCCTAATCACTTCTTCCCCACCGGGGGTCCCTTTGGCTTGCAACTGGAACTGTTTTAATAACCTATATTCTTTCACATCCCAGCTCTTCATCCAGGTAGACTCTGACAAAGGGTATCTATTCCAGTGGACTAAATATTGCAAGCAACCCTAGTGTAACCTGGAGTCTAATATTTTCTTAACTTCATAGTGGGTCTCACCCTGTACCACATGTGGTTTAGGGGCTGCCCTGTTCCTCAGTCTGTGAGCTAACTACAGGCTTTAAGCTGCTATGGAAAACTGGATGCACTTTCCCTAGCAGGCATGGAAGACTAAGTTGTACTGTCACTGGGTTAATTACTTTCACTATTAAGAATGGCCCTAGAAACTTAGGTCCCAGATTCTTCCTAGGCAATTTTAGCTTAATGTATTTTGTTGACAGGTATACATGATCTCCCACCTGGAATGGGGGCTGGAGTGATTGGTGCTTATCCGCCTGTTTTTTGTATGCCTTTGCCAGCTCAGCCAGGGCTCAGCCAGGGCTCATGTCGTATTCTCCCAACCCAGTCTAAACAATTCCATTCACTCTGCCAGGGTCATGGATGATGGTGGCTCTCAAGGCATGGGAACAAAGCCCAAGCTGTTAGTGACCTGGAAGGGGGGCAGTCCAGTGCTATTGTGCATTGCATTATTGTAAGCCACCTCTGCAACAGGCAGCAAGTCCGCCCAGTTGTTTTGTTGCTATACCATCTCAGGTACTGCTCTATCATGGCATCTGTACGTTCCACAGCTCCATTAGTACTTGGATGAAAAGCTAAGCCCCTGGGTCGATCCTATGGACTTCAGGAACTCCCACCAGAACTTTGCTGTGAACTGAACCCCTCAAGATGACCCTGAGGAGCACTCCTTACAACCGGTATACTTGCTTTATGAACATCCTGGCTTTATGAATTTATGAAATTTATGAATTTCCTGACAGAGGGTAACCACAAGCAGGCAGTGAAATGGGCTTGCTTCGAGAATAAGTCAATCACAGTCCAAATGACTGTATTCCCTCCACTCTCTGGGAGATCAACTGTAAATTTCATCCCAGGGCCAGCAGGAGTCAGGGACTTGTTGGAGAAGCTCAGGGGGCTTCCCCAGTCTCACCTTTATGGCTGCACATATAATACAACTCTTAACATAATTTTCTACATCTGCCTTCATCTTGGGCCACCAGAATTGCCTTCTGGTTAAGTGGAGGGTCTTTCAGAATCTGAAGTGAATGGCCAAATGACAGTCATGGTTGTGCTATAGGAACTGGAGTCTCAAGCTGGCAGGGGCCTAGAGTTTGGTCCCTTTCCAGGCCAATTCCTCCCTTAGGTCCCAGTTCTCACTTGGACAGCTACAAGTGCAGACTTCAATGCTGCTGTCATTTGATCCCCTCAGGGGTCATCCCGACATCTAGTTTGACCCTGGGGATGACTTGAACTACCTGCTGGGAAGGGGGAATGATCATGTGCACGACCTCCTCTCACAAACTGCTAAACTGTGACTTTCTTGACAAGGCATCTGCGAGCAGGTTCTCTCCCCCCGTGATACATTTTAGCTCAAAGTTGAACCACTTAAAATACTGCACCCAGTGGAGTTTTCAGGAGGTCTTTAGCACCTCAAGGTTCTTATGGTCCATCCAAACATCAAAAGGCAATTTACTCCCTTCCAGGAAGTGCTGCCAGGAGGAAGGCCCATCTTACTGCATAGGTTTCCTTTTCCCGTACTGCCCGCCTTTTGGTGTCCATGAGCTTCTTGGACACATAGGCGCAGGGCTAGAGTTGGCGCTGGGAGTGCTTTTGCAAGAGTACTGCTGCTCCGGTTATGTCACCAGTATTGGCTTGTACGATGAATGGCCACTCAGGGTTGGGCTGCTGAATGGGTTCTTCTGCAAAGAGCTTTTTTAGTTTTTTGAATGCTCTCTGGCAGTCCAGTGACCAAACCAGTGGTTGACTCGGCCACAGCTTCAGAGTAGCCCCTCCTGTTTTCAGCAGCTCCATCAGGGGCAAGGCTCCGCAAAAGATGGAATGAATTGTCTGCAAAAGTTGGCCAACCCCAGAAAGCTCTGGAGGTGCTTGCGGGTCCGTGGGGGTTGCCAGACCAGCACTGCTTTTACTTTTCCTGGATCCATCTTGATTCCTTGATTTGACACACTGTAGCCCAAATAGTCCAGGACAGTCTTAAGAAACCCGTATTTTGACAGCTTTGCATAGAGTTTTGCGGACAGATTTTTCAGAACTTCCTGTACTAGCTTAATGTGTTCTTCTAGTATCTCGCTGAATATGAGAATGTCATTCAGGGAAACTGAGACCCCCTTATACAGGTGCTCATGCAGCACCTCATTGATTAGGTGCATGAAGACAGCAGGGGATTCCTGTAGTTCAAACGGCATGACTTTGAACGGGAAGCTGCCTAACAGGCAGTTGAAGGTGGTCTTCCATTCATCCCCTTCCCTGATTCATATCAGGCAATATGCTTCTCTCAGGTCTAGTTTTGTGACCACTTTGCCCTTTGACAGGTGACTTGCTGTGGTGATGCCCAGGACAGAGTCCATTTCCCCGGGACCCAGCCAGCCCAGGGTAATATGCCCATGGTGGGCATATTAATATGCACCACCCCAGTAGGTGGTGTGGATGGCCAGATGGGTTCACCAACTATGACAGAGCAGCCGGCTTTGCTGTAGACCTGGCCAAGACTGCTGACAGGACTAGGGGAATGCTAGCCAACTGAGCTGCTGCAGTTGGAACCGGACCACGGCAGGGTGGGAACATCAAAGTAGGCCAGTTCAGGATCACTCTGGGCGCTTCAGATCTGCATAGTTGTCTTATGCCCTTGATGCTCATCTGGCTCAACCTCTCAATTTCTTTCCAATATCTCCATTTCCCAGATTCATCTAGCTCAGGTGTCAGCAACCCGCGGCTCCAGAGCTGCAGGTGGCTATTTCATCCCTGTTATGCCTCCCTGTTGGGTGATCCCATCACTGGCTGGCCCCATCCTTTGCCCTCCCCTCCCAGTCACTCCTCAAATGGTCTGAGAACGTAAGGGCGATGGCAGGGGATGGAGACTCACTCCATATTCCAGAATGGGAGCAAAGCATCCCTGTACTGGCCTCATCTCTTGCTGGGTCTCACGGGTGCTTCTTCTGGCCCTTGTTGGTACTGCATGCATCAACAAGGGCCGGAAGAAGCAATTGCAAGACCCCACAAGAGATGAAGCACCAGAGAATCAGAATCAGAGAGAAAGAAGAAAGGAAGAAAAAAAGACAGAGGAAGGAGGAAGGGAGGGAGGAGAGAAAGGGGAAGAGTGAGCAAGAGAAAGCACAGGATCAAATTGTGGGATGCAAAGGAGTCTTTGAGGGTGGAACGCTGATAAGCATGGATTTCTTTGCCTTCTGCATTCCACCCCACGTGAAGCGAACCAAGTGGGCCAGGGTCTCCCTTCCTGCTCAGTGCATCCACTGAGTTCAGCTCCAAAATTCGGCTCACACGTCCGTCCAGACTCCATCTCACCTGCTGCAGCACTCGCCTACACCTGGATGGCTAAGCTGGGTGGCGCACCGCCTGCCTTCCCTCCCAGAGCAGGGAGACGCACCTACCCACTGGCCTCTGCCCACTTAATTTTCCTCACTATAAGGAAATTCCAGGTTGCTTCTCTCCGTTATTAGTTTCCATCCATTGTTTCTTGTCTTGCCCTCTAATGCTTTGGAAAATAAATTGACCCACTCCTCTTTGTCGTAGTCTGTCAAACGCTAGAACATTGCTATCATGTCATTCCTAATCCTTCTTTTCTCTAGACTAGCCAAACCAAAATCCAAGGTCACACTCACAGTTACTGTTTTTGAGCCAGGTTTCCTGTAATCTGGTTTTCTTGCCGAGGTTTAAAATCTTACTTTTCTCCACATTAAATTTCATTTTGTCGGATTCAACCTTGTCTCATTTGGATCAAAAAGGCACAATATGCATACACATGCAAATCTATAGACATGGTGGGGCAGGGGTTAGAATGCAGTACTACAGGCTAATTGATTCTGACAGGCTCATGGTTGATTCATCCTTTCATCCTGAGGTTGGTAAAATAGGATTCAGATTACTGGGAAAAATATGCTGACTTTGCAAACTGCTCAGAGAATGCTGTAAAGCAGTTTGGACTGGCATATAAGCTGAAGTGGAATTGCTATTGCTATATAGTTTCTCCCGAGCATGGATCCTTTTATGACAATTAAGACTATGATTCCGAGCAAAGCTCTTCCCACATTCCATGCATTTATATGGCTTCTCTCCTGTGTGGATTTTGTTATGGGAAGTAAGATCATAGCTCCGAGCAAATGTTTTCCCACAATTCATGCATTTATATGGTTTCTCTCCTGTGTGGATCTTTTTGTGGATATTAAGCCTACTGCTCAGAGCAAAGGTCTTTCCACACTCCATGCATTTATATGGTTTCTCTTCTGTGTGGAGCTTGTTGTGGATAGTAAGAACACTCCTACGAGTAAAGGCCTTTCCACACTGCGTGCATTTATATGGCTTCTCCCCTGTGTGGATCATCTTATGGGAAATAATATGACCTCTTTGAGCAAAAGTCTTTCCACACTCCATACATTTATATGGTTTCTCTTCTGTGTGGATCAATTCATGGGAAGCAAGATAATTCCGTTGAGCAAAGGTCTTTCCACACTCCGTGCATTTATATGGTTTCTCTCCTGTATGGAGCTTTTTGTGGATAGTAAGTCCACTGCTGTGAGTAAAGGCTTTCCCACACTCCATGCATTTATACGGTTTTTCTCCTGTATGGATCTTTTTGTGGATAGTAAGTGTACTGCTCAGGGCAAAGCTCTTTCCACACTCCATACATATATATGGTTTCTCTCCTGTGTGGAGCTTTTTGTGGATTGTAAGTCCATTGCTATGAGTGAAGGTTTTCCCACACTCCATGCATTTATATGGTTTCTCTCCTGTGTGGACCCTTTTATGGGAAATAAGATGACCTCTTTGAGCAAAAGTCTTTCCACACTCCATACATTTAAATGGCTTTTCCCCTGTGTGGACCATTTTGTGGATAGTAAGTCCACTGCTATGAGTAAAGGTTTTTCCACACTCCATGCATGTATACGGTTTCTCTCCTGAGTGGACCCTTTTATGGGAAATAAGATGACATCTTTGAGCAAAAGTCTTTCCACACTCCATGCATTTAAATGGCTTTTCCCCTGTGTGGACCATCTTGTGGACAGTAAGCCTACTGCTCAGAGCAAAGGTCTTTCCACACTCCATGCATTTATATGGTTTCTCTCCCGAGTGGATCATCTTATGGGAAATGAGATGACCACGTTGAGCAAAAGTCTTTCCACATTCCATGCATTTATATGGTCTTTCTCCTGAATGGATCATGTTATGGGAAATAAGATGACTTCTTCGAGCAAAGGTCTTTCCACATTGCAAGCATTTATATGGTTTCTCTCCTGTGTGGATCATTTTGTGGTTTCCAAGTCCACTGCTCTGAGCAAAGGTCTTTCCACAGTCCATGCATTTATACGGTTTCTCTCCTGAGTGGAGCCTTATATGTGAAATTAGATTACTGTATGTTCTGAACCTGTTACCACACTCTCTGCATTTGTATAGCTTCTCCCCAGTATGAATCCTTTCATGGGAAGTAAGCTGCCCATTTGTTCTAAAACATTTTCCACATTGCAAACATTTATAAGGCTTCTCTTTTGTGTTAATCACTTTGTGAGATGTAAGGAAGTTATTTTCAAGAGAAAGCAAGTATGTTCCATTGTAATTTTGTCCGTTGTATCTTCTTATAGCTTCTCCTTTGTTTTGGGTTAAATAGTGTTCATTTACATGTAATTTAGCTTTGATTAGATCCATACTTTTCCCAATATATTTTTTCCTTATATTCTCTTGTTGGGCAAGAAAGTCTTGCATCGGAGCATCAGTGGAAGATGAGATTTCCTGATTCCAATTATTTGGTTGGTTTCTCTCATGGCTTTCAAATTCCATTCGAAATCCAAACTTTTCTGTTCCATCTTTTGCATTGATCACTTGGAACGGTTTACAGGAATCTTGATTCTCCTGCCCATTATTACCTTCAAAGCAAAAGAGAAGTGAAAATGTTAACAAGGTTTAAGAAAAAGATCAAACTATAGAAAGTCAAGTCAATTTCCTTTTGAATTTTTCTGAAATTCCATTAGGTTGTATGTTTGCATGCTTACAGTGGTGTGATATAGACCTGATGATTTCTATATTCATAAGTTTTGAAAATATCTAGAAAACATCTTTTTCTTTACAATTATCTATCTATCTATCTATCTATCCATCCATCCATCCATCCAAATATCATTCAAAGTCAGTTTTGAGTCAAGGAATAATCAGAGGAAACATCCAAGGAGGAATTAGAAAACTTAAGATTTATTGGGGTGGGCTAATTTCAGCAGAGACCAGTGAGAAATGAAACAATTATGAAACAAGCTAGTTCTTCTCCTCTGTACTTTGGAGCGACTGCTCGGTGGTGTCTGTCTGTCTGGTGGAATCCCCTCAGCCTGTTCCTTGTTCTCAGAGATTTTGGAGCTAAATCCTTGCTTGAAGCTTCCTATTGGCTTGTAAACACTTTTTGTGCTGAGAATGCAAAGAATTGGAGGCTTCAAGAATGGTTTTTTCACTGCACCAAAGTCCCATCGGCTTGTAAGGACTTTACGGCCAGATCTGGTAAAGTTTTCTGTTCGCAGAGATCAGAGGCCTAAATTACTTTAGTGCAAGATCACACAAGAGCAGTGGTGCAAGATCTCAGGCTACTAATCTCACAAGGTCTTACACTGAAGTATTTTAGGCCACTGTTCTTTTAAGAATTGAGAGTCCAACTGCACAAAATCCAGGGGAAAAGTCTTTGAAAACGAAGAAGCTTTCCCTTTGTTTGAAAAGCATTTTGCCCAGGATCATTTTGCCATTCATAATTTTGGGACTGGGGCTTAAGTACTTTGGGGGAGGACCAGATCATAACTTGGAATGGCTACATAGAGAACTGTCATAACTCAGGGATTAGCTGTACCCTAGGATGCTCTGAGTCACACTGCATGTGGCCTTCATTCAATTAATTGGATTGGGAGAATGCTCTTCCATGGCCTGAGCATGAAAGTTCTGTTCTCACATAATTTGGGGAGATTTCAAAGGACAAATGAAAAGACACTCCTTTCACATGACCTCCAGAGGACACATAAAAGCACACCTTGTTTTTTTCAGCCTCCACAGATATGTTCAAATAGAAATGAAAAAATATAGATAAGAAATGGCACACAAACCATCTAAGCAATGAGACAGACTCTTTCCTTCCTTGGAGTACGAGAAGGCCAGATCCTATCCTTCTCCCTCCCAGGAGATGATATCTGATTAGTGATTTTTTAAAATTAAAAACTGTCAGGATAATCTGTCGACTTGAACTCTGATTGGGGACTGGAAAACTCTTACCCAGAGAAAGCACGTTCCTATGGTTTTGAAGCATAACTTCTGAATGCAGTGCTTTTTGGTCAGAATCCAGCTGAGACCATTCCTCCTCAGAGAAATACACAGCCACCTCCTCGAAGGACACAAGATTCTCCTGAACATGGGAAAAAGAACAGAACAGGAGGATTTACAAGATCCGTTCATCTTCATCAATGATTTAGACAAGAGGATAGAAGGGAAACTCATCAAATTTGAAGACAAGATCAAATTGGCAGGAATACCAACACTCCAGAAATAAGCTCGAGATATAGAGAGTTCAAAAAATTGGGCCCCATCTAACAAAATGAAAACAAACAGTGAGAAATGTAAAGTTCTACATTTAGGAAAGAAAAACCAAACACACAGGCACAGAATAGATGCTACCTGCCTCAACACTACTAAGTGCCACAGGGATCTTGGAATCCTAGTGGACAATCATTTAAACATGAGCCAGCAGTATGCTACAGTTGCCAAAAAACAAAAACAAAAAAAACCAACCAACATAATCATAGAAGGGGATAGAATCAAGATCACATGAAGTGTTAGAATCACTTTATAATGCCTTGGTAAGACCATACTAGGAATATTGCATCCAGTTTTGGTTGTCAGATGTAAAAAAGATATTGGGACTAGAAAGAGTGCAGAGAAGAGCAACAAAAATGATGAGTGGACTCGAGGCTGAAACATATAAAGAACAGTTGCTGGAATTGGGTATCTCTAGTTTAAAGGACTGGGGTGACATGATAGTACTATTCTAAGAAGCAATGGATGGAAACTATTCAAGGAGAGAACCAACCTACAACTAAAGAGAAATTTCCTGACAGTGAGAACAATTAATCAGTGGAATGATGCCTCCAGAAATTATGGATGCTCAAACACTGGAGGTATTTATGAAGAAATTGGACAGCCATTTATCTGAAATGTTATAGAGCTTCCTGCCTGAGCAAGGAGCTGCATTAGAAGATGTTCCAAGTTCCCTATCAACTCTGATATTCTGTTCCATTGTTTCCAAATTCCCAAAGCAGAGATATGCACTAAGTTAAATGGCTATGTGTCACACAAGTCCTAATTTTAGATGAGAAAATGGGCAAATTTGAAAATTGCTTTCCCTGAAAAAATATTTGGGGAAGTTTTATCAAGTTCATTGATTCTGCAAAACCTTCAGTGCCTTTCAGTAAAGTAAATCCCACTTCTGGATCAACTGACCTATCACTCTGTCTATCATCTATTGATCTCGTAGTCTCAGTCATTGGCTGAATGGAAGAAAACAAAGAAGAGAAAATTCCATGGGAAAGTCATTTCTCAGGCCTTGCAAAGTGAGGATGTTTTATCTTCTAATCGAGGTGCAAATCAGAGGATTAGAAATTATTTGGTAGCCAAATAAGTATCTTTATTACATGCTCTATATTGCCACTCCATTTGGATTTTAATATGCTTTATTTTTTTAATATGATTTTTTTTAAACAAGAGGTTATCAATAAGGCTTTTTAAAAATGGTAATGTGCCAATGAGTATTTATTTATTTTTCATTAGCCTTGCACAATTCCAAGTCAAAGAATTACAAAAAGAATGGGTCTCTAGCAGTTCCTGACACTGTGATACATTTATTCCTAATTCTTGACTTTTTTAAAAATTGCTTCTTGTAAACTCAAAGTTGGAAGAATACCTAGCAGAACAAGACAACCAGAGGAAGCTGTGCTGACTGACAGCAACTTGAACTTGCTATTCTGCTCTCCATGTCGTGGAAAAACGCAAAAGAAATCCAGGTCACGAAAAGTGGGAAAATTGAAGGAGAGAGCACTCTGTACACCCATTTCACTTCCTGAAAGGAGAATACAAATCTAATAACTTTTCCCTTTCTTACTTGTTTTGGAAGTTCAACCACTGCTTGAGCTCCATCGTAAAAACCAGAAAACTTCATTCTTTGTTTCTCTGTAAGAAATAATTTCAAAATGCATAATTAGCA